CCGACGGTGCAGCAGGATTTATTTTCCATTGTATCAAGGTTTCGAACTTTTCGATTCGTATTCTCCGCAGACATCGCCAAGATGTACCGGCAGATATTGGTCGATCCGCAGCAGACGCGACTGCAGCGTGTTCTGTGGCGAGATGAGGCCACCGAGAGCGTGCAAACATACGAATTAATAACGTTGACATACGGTACAGCGGGCGCGTCGTATTTAGCCACTAGAGCGCTGCAATTTTTGGCCGAGATGTACGCGGAGAAATTTCCCGCGGGATCCCGGCGAGTGAGACGCGATTTTTACGTTAATGACCTGCTAACGGGAGCGGACACAATCGAGGAAGCATTAGCGTTGAAAAGCCAGATTGTAAAGATTCTGAACCGCGGCGGATTTCAACTGAGCAAGTGGCATTCAAACGAATCAGTATTAATAAATGATATGTATGATAAACATAACGCCGAGGTTCAAATTGATAGAGACGCGACGTCGCGCATCCTCGGAATTCTTTGGAATCCATCGATGGATGCCTTTCGGTTCGCGATTGAATTGCCGACTGACTCACACAAGATAACGAAGCGCGTAATATTGTCGGAGATATCAAAATTATTTGACCCGTTGGGATTAATCGGTCCGGTTATTATTATACCAAAAATGCTGTTACAGGAGATTTGGCAATTAAAAATACAGTAGGATGAATTGATTCCGCTGGATATGCATGCAAGGTGGTCCGCGTTTAAGAGACAGTTAAGCGAATTAAATGATTTAAGCGTCCCGAGGTTTATAGGGGAAAATCAAGAGGGGGCTCGCGTTCAGATACACGGGTTTTGTGACGCCAGCCAGCGAGCGTATGGCGCGTGTTTGTATTCGAAGACAAGTAGATGGGAAGAAAGTGCAGATTGATCTGTTGTGCTTTAAAACAAGAGTAGCCCCACTCAGAGTGATTTCGATTCTGCGACTTGAGCTTTGCGCGGCATTATTGCTGGCACAATTGTTGGACAAAGTGCGTTCATCTATTGACATAAAGGACGTGCGGTATACTTTGTGGTCGGATTCCACGATCGCGCTGAGATGAATTTAGTTGTGCTCGAGAAAATGGTCGGTTTTTGTGTCAAATCGCGTCGGAGAAATACAGCGGTTAACTTCCGGTTTGGATTGGCGGCACGTGCCGACAACCGAAAATCCTGAGGATTTGCTATCTCGGGGCGTCCACCCGCGTGACATCGGGAATGCCGCGCTATGGTGGCGAGGTCCCGCGTTCTTAAAGAGCAGCGAGGAGTCGTGGCCAAGCGTTGGCGAATATGTCCCGGAGTCCGAGATGCCGGAGAGGCGGCGGATAGTTGCTGCCGTCGCTGGCGTGGTGGCACCGAGCCCCTTTTCGGAGCTTATAGTTAGATGTTCGAGTCTAGATAAATTGTGCCGAATTGTTGCATATTGCAGGAGATTTATTGGACCGCGTCTGCGATCCGAGGGAGACGTGGGCGTTCACGTCTCGCACGTGAAAATCTCAGCCGCATTGGGAAACATTTGCAAGCTGGTGCAAGGGGAAGTTTTTTCAAACGAGTTCGAGCAATTAAAGAAAGGAAACGCTCTCACTTCCGCTAGCTCATTAAAATCATTATCGCCGTTCTTGGATGAACAGGGTCTGATTCGCGTCGGTGGGAGGCTCGAAAAATCACAATTAGTGTACGATGCCCGCCACCCAATTTTGCTCCCAAAGAATCATCGGCTCACTCAGCTCGTAATAAAGAAAGAACATATACGCAATTTGCATGCTGGATTACAGGGCACTATGGCTGCGGTGCGACAAAAATTTTGGCCTCTCTCGGTTCGCTCGACCACACGAAAGGTTATTAGACAGTGCCTCGTTTGTTTTAGATGCAGGCCGGCGATATCGGAAGCGAAAATGGGGGTGTTACCTGCGCCTCGTGTGACACCTTCGCGGCCGTTCTCTAATTGCGGCATCGATTACGCAGGGCCTCTCATTATAAGAGAAGGCAAGCGGTGAAATGCTCGAAATAGTAAGGCTTATGTTTGTATATTTGTGTGCTTCGCTACGAAAGCAGTACACATTGAAGTAGTTAGTGACTTGACGACGGACGCTTTTCTAGCGGCTTTAAAGCGTTTCATTTCTCGGCGGGGGTGCCCGACCTCTATATTTTCCGATAATGGAACTAATTTTAAGGGGGCCTCGCGCCAATTGTCACAGTTGTACGCATTTCATGGCGCGTCATCAACCAAAGAAAAAATAGAGCAGTTTTGTCGCGACTCTAGGATATCATGGCGTTTTATCCCACCTGGAGCGCCACACTTTGGCGGGCTCTAGGAATCCGCGGTAAAATCTGCGAAATATCACCTACAGCGTGTTGCGGGCGACTCGCACCTGACTTTCGAGGAATTGCAGACAACGTTGTGCAAAATAGAGGCTGTACTGAATTCGCGTCCATTGACGCCGCTGAGCTCTGATCCTAATGATTTAGCCTATCTTACGCCGGGGCATTTTCTGGTTGGCGAGGTATTGAGTGATTTTCCATGCCACGACCTTACTGATATTAAGGAAGGTCGATTGATACGATGGCAGAGAGTCGAGCAGCTCCGCCAGCATTTTCGGAGTCGTTGGAGCCGCGAATACTTAAATCAATTGCAGCAGCGGCAGAAATGGACTAGCAACAAGGGAGAACAGATGGGCGTTGGCAAGATGGTGCTAGTCATGCAACCGGGCCTTCCGCCTCTGCAGTGGGCGCTTGGCCGCGTGAAGGAAATTCATCCCGGAACTGATGGCATCGCCCGTATAGCCACAATAATCACGGCCAAGGGATCATTTGTCAGGCCTCTTTCAAAATTATCAATTTTGCCTCTAGAAGATTAGCATTTGTAAAAAAAAAATATATATATTGTTTTTTGTTGCTTGACAATCAATTGTACTACATTCATAACATGAACGTGCTATATGAGTGCAAAAAGAAACAGGACGTTTCTTTTGCAATTAGTTATAAAGTTTGACCGCGCTGAATAATCAAATAGCGTTAATGACAAAATTATTTAAATCGCTTTAGATATTTGAATTGAGGACGACTCTTATCATTTATGCTACACTTTACTCATTATATATTATTTATTTTCTTTGCGTTACAAAGCATATTATTTAATATACATATTCATTGTACTGTTATTTGACGAAGCGTATCAATCATATTGTATGCCTGCCGCATGTATGTGACCCCGAGTTTATTTATTATTATTGTAAGACGACGTCTTCCAAGGCGGCCGGTGTTTAGAATTATTTCTCCATATTATTATATTTCACGAATTTGCACGATGTTTGGACATGTATCTGTTGGGATGTGCTGGTCGAGACAAGAGACGCGGCTTTCTCTTATATATATATATATATATAAAAGAAAGCCGCGTCTCTTGTCTCGACCAGCACATCCCAACAGATACATGTCCAAACATCGTGCAAATTCGTGAAATATAATAATATGGAGAAATAATTCTAAACACCGGCCGCCTTGGAAGACGTCGTCTTACAATAATAATAAATAAACTCGGGGTCACATACATGCGGCAGGCATACAATATGATTGATACGCTTCGTCAAATAACAGTACAATGAATATGTATATTAAATAATATGCTTAACGCATATATATATATATATATATATATATATATATATATATACACGCATCATTGTCTCACTTTGTTTTGGTCTTATCACGTGAACGAAGAAACGGTCAATCACGTGAACATGAACGGTCTAAATATCAATCGCGGGATTCCGGGATGTATCGGACATTTTCGGATCGACAACGAAGGCATACCTGTGCGGCCTGAAATAAATTCGCACAGGTCACTTGCTAATCTTCATGTTTCGAGGAGCGCATCGCAACACATAGTCGCGCATAATCTTAATAAATCAATATTATACGAGGATCAAGTCATTCCAGTTTACTTCAATCAAACTCTCTCATACCATCGCGCCCGTACTGCTGCATTAAATAAAAACTAGAAGCCTGTGCTTCGGCTCGCGTCGCCCGTGGAGATTCAAAATTATACCCGGGACTTTACACGCGAGAGAATTCACGAAACAAGCAATATATAATTTACATTCTAAAAGATATTCTATTGTAAATCGAGGCAATACTAAACAAACTTAGAAAATATTAGACAGTACTTAAACAAACAAATTTGTTCAGGCCGTACAATTAGCGTCAGCAGTAAATGCTGTTATAATTTTGCCAACAAAATTTTATAACAATTAAGAATATCTTTACATACCTCATATGAGAAAAATTATTAAATGAATACAATGAGAACTTATACATACGTATATATGCTATTATTAAATTAACATAAAATAATTTATTTAATTATTTAATTTTTTTATCTGTGATAACCGCTTTTTAACAATTGCTTTAATAAATTTAAATCTTTCTACGAACTTAAAAAATTATTTTGACTATAAAGTTAATATATTATATTGAGTATACAGTAATAAAAAAATATTCGCAATAAATTGTCCTGTGAAACTTACATATAAATTTGAGATATAACTATGAAATAAATATATACATTGAACATGTTTTTGGCAACATTTGGCACATATCATGTGGAAATGTGTGTATGCGCGTGCATTCGTGCGATATACGTGCGGGGATGCAGGTATGCATACATGCATGCGTGAGTGTTGCGCGAGTTTGTTTGTGTGTAAAAGGCCTTTCTCTGCTGATTCACACATGCACACACGCATACACACACGCATACACGCACGCATACACATACACACATATACCAAAATTATTTCTTTAAGAACTTTGAAAAATATTGAAAATTAGTTTAAATAAAATCTAGCACATTACATTTATATTAAAAAATACTTTAGTGTTATTAAAAATATTTCATATTGTATTGCTAAAATAGAAATTATGTAAAATAGAAGTTTACAAATACATATTCTATATATAAAAATATCGAAAAAATCATTTTTATTTTAAAAAGCCATTGTAAAAATGTTCATTTCCTGTTTCCTAATTTAAATGAAAGTCTCAAAAGCATTTTGCATTTTTAAATGGAAAACTTTCATCAATTTTATATTTTTTATCATAAATGGATTTAGACCCCCATTTTGTATAAATCAATTTGATTTAGCTGATAATCAATTCGTTACAAAGCAGAGCAAACATAATACGCGATTTTCATAAGACGTGTCTATATAAGAATGATAGAAAATACTGCTCGCCTTGAAAAACTATGGCATCTTATGTTATTAATATACACAAAATTAAATATATGATAAATGGAATGAATTACAATACAAAGAATCTGAGAAACAATCAATAATCAAACAATGATTCAGCTATTTCTATCTCGTGTCCTGTAGCGGCGTTATACGGATAAATTTTTGCTAACATATCGTTTGGCACATAATGCGTGCCTTCGAATTTACAAAAATAGCGACCTATTTCGTTATTATCGATCCATTTCGGCGTTGTTAAAGTTATAGCGTCTGAAATAAAATAAAATAATTAAATTCATAATCATTAAGAGAAAGAAAGTAATAAATAAAATAAATAATAAAGAAATTATAATAAATAAAATAATTATAAAAAATATAATAAAATGAAATAACGGAAACAAAATAAAGTATTATTTTATATCCCAGAAAACATTTTGCGCGCAAATATATACTTACCCAGCAAACACCGATATATAATTGTTACATTGCTATAATAAAACGGAATATAACAGGTAATATAACGTGTACGTTACATGTAACATCCATGTTAGTTGTAATTTCCCAATCATAGATGTAGCATTTTAATATAACATATATTACATTGTAGTTATATTGTAATTATATACCAAATAGCACATTGATGTATTGATAAGTCAGTGCTATCTTGAGATATAATGACAATATAACTACAATGTAATATATGTAATATTAAAAATGTTACATCTATGAGTGGGAAATTACAACTAACATATACGTTACATGTAACATGCTTAAGTATATAACATTTATATATTGTGTTTGCTGGGTAGTCATTGCATACTAAAGCAGCTCATATGGCGCAAGCAAAACTTTATCCTAATGCGTCGTCATAGTGATAGCAAATGCTAGCACATTTTGCACGCAATTTCATCTCGTTATAAGCATGCAACATGAGCATATTCAACAAGCATATTGCTGTCATACTATCACATCACTGGCATATTTTTGGCAATTTGATATCCATTTGAACGTAATTTGCTGGTGTATTAAATAATATATAAGCTAAACATTTGCCTGCAATATGTACGACTAAACATATCTCACATGCAAAACTCCGGCAAATCTCGTAAACAGTTTATATGCATAATGCACGCAAATTTTGCACGCAAAAACTGTTATCAGGGATTACATACAAGAGATGAGTTTCGTATACTAAACAAATAAAAAGGTTTATATATATATAATGATGCTCATACCTTCTTCTACTTTACGAAGTCTATTATCTTTAGTAAGAATAATGTAATATACTTGTTGATGTACAAATTTATTTGTTGCTGTAAATTCACAAAAAAATTGATCTACCAACATTGTATATTGATTCACGTCTAAAGAGTCTGTATCACTTCTATCAATATCATATCTGTCCCATCCGACGATCACACCCACCTCTTTACCTATAATTATAATCATATGATTATATCTAATCTATAATAAAATTCAATCTATATTCATAATAAAATAACTATATATGATTTGTCACCATGTTTAACTATCATTCCAACTGCAAACTTTACATTCTCTGGCCTTCTATACGATTTCTTTTTTTTTAACCGTTCATTTCGTAGATGCCGCTAAAAAAAGTAAGATCTAATTTGATTTGCTTATTCTTTTTATACAATTTGTAAATATTGCCTTTTTGGCAGGCAGTTTGCTACCCGGATAGTGCTTCGTTACCTGATGAAGTATAAATATTCCCCATATATATAAAGTATAAATTGTATGTGTTCCATCTACGTTCCACAAATATAAATGAAAGCGCCGCATTAATAATGACAACATTGAAAAAAAATTTAATCTATACAAAAATGAAATGGGATCTGATTATAAAAATAAAAAATATGAGAGATTGTAATAATCCCTGTTGCCTATTATCATGTGTAAAGCATATTTCATTGATATAATTTATTTGCCGTAGTTATAAAAGTATATTATAATTAGTGTAAGATAATTCATAAACAATGTATATAATTATCAACTCTTCAGGTTTTAGTATAAAGTTTTATAAAGTATTTTCACGGTTCATCTTATACCGTGAAAATTGTGTGAAGACGTTTCAATTCTTCAAAAAAAATATCGTAACATATTTTCAGGTTTCAAAAAATTCATAGCATTTATCAAACAAAATAAAAATAATATATGTGTGTCATAATTATAGTTATGTATAATTTGAGATATATAATATTTTTAATTCTCTCAAACAATTTACGCCTGTTTCTATAAAGTTTACAATTTTTGATTTTTTCCTTCGTTCTCTTCAAATTCATTCTCATTTTCTTTAGATTGTGTGTCATAAAATTTCTTCACAGAGGACCATCTGAAAATAAAATAAATTATATTTTAATAAACCTTTGTAAATTTTTTTGATAAGATATTCATAATATTGACTGCATAATCTGAACATGATATTCGGTGGGAATTTTATCAGAGGATATGGGAAAAATATTGCAAAATTCCACAACAAAAAAATCTCGTGAATAATTAATATTAAATTATATTAAAATATAAATAATATTAAATTATATATATATATATATATATATATATATATATGGGACATTATTTATGAAGTGATCCACTCAAATTTTCAAAGTTTAAAAAAAAACAAAATAAAATTTAAAATGCAGAAACGTTTGTTGTATCGATTAACTTACGTTTGCTTTTAAATTTTGTATTTTATAAAATCTCTTCTAATTCTCTTAATTTTAAGCAAAATAACATTATTTATTGTTAAAGAATAAATGTTCCTGCTTTTTAAATCTTATTTTGTTTCTTTTTAACAATTTATTTTTACTCTTCCATGCTCTTTTTTCGGTTAACTTATCAAATACTTTGTAAGTATGTATATATACATGTTTATACATATATGTATATTTATCTAAGATACATATATATATAATATATGAGAAGTCACCACGCTTGGCCACAAGCAATAGAACTGGCCAGATATCTTTCTGTATTTGTAATAGCGTCCGAACTGTATCATTGGTGACACGCTTGGTTCTAAAATGGACTATATCTTGAAAACTGAAAGCCTGCCCATCTTGGCCTTGGAAGCGTTTTAAAGGGGAAGATTTCTACTTTTTTTAAAGTTTTTTCGAAGAAAATCGAAGATGTCTAAATTTGAGAAAAATTGATTTTTACTTTGTATTTAAAAAATTTAATATAAACTGTTATTGAAAGAGAGAGAAAAAACTAATTTCACAAGATTGAAGTGCGTAAAAAGATCTTTCAAAATCACACCTTATTTTTTAAAATCGGAGTAGTCATCTGAAATTTATCAACGTTTGAAGTTGGACGTAACAGCCAAAATGATATAAAAATTCAAGTCTTTTAACACAGAGCCTGTATGGTGTGCGCTAAACAACTTGAGGAATAATTTTATTTTTGATAGAACTACACTTTCTGCAAACAGCGTGTTTGAAAAACTTTGAAAATTTGGATGGATCACTTCATAAATAATGCCCCATATATATATATATATATATATATATATATATATATATATATGTATATATACATTACTAATTATTTTACGGAAATCTCATAGAGCTCATGTTCTTAACATTGATATATGTTACTAAATTCATCGTCCTGAGTGACCTTTTAAATAATGTTATTTTTTTTCTGTATAATTACTAATTGTGTAAATTTTATATATTATAAATAATTTATATTTTTATCATATTTTGGAAACTATATTGATTCCAGAATTATTTTATTATTTTTCCTATATTCCTCGTCAAAAATGCCTTCACATCTTATTGTTAAAATATAAGAAAACGCCAAAATTATAAGTATCTTATCCGTTTGATAATTTATTATTAGCCCAATTATTTGTTTTATTACATTATATTTTTGACATTTTTATTTGATTACTATTTATAAAATACATTCTTGTCTAATTATAATAGATTGACTAATGTAAAACATTATAAAAAATTTACAAACAAAAAAAATTACCTCTAAAGATACTTTTTTTTCATAATCCTGTTCGTGACAAGTTTGTAGAAACGTTTGCATACAAATAAAAAACTAATTACATCGTTAAAGGGATCCTAAATGCACGGGCGAACTCCGATAGGGTCGATAATGAAGAATTTTTAAATATAATTATCGACAAAACTCGACAGATGTCGCAATAAAAAAGTTGTCAATCGACACACACATACATATACAGGGTGTCCCATTTTATATAATTTATAATTATATAAAAATTATATATACACAGGTTGTTACACATACATATACACATATGTATGTGTGTGTGTATTTATACAAGGTGTCCCATTTTTACTACCCCTAATATCTCTTTGTTTCAATGCATTTTATAATAAAACAACAAAAGTTATACGGTTTCAAAGGAACTATAAAATAGTACCATTAGTGTTGACCTTGCACAGTCATAAAGATTACGTGAAAGTCACTATCACATGATAAGTTATAAAGTTTCAACATTGCAATATCGCTTCTGAGAATTTTGCGCACATGCAAACTGCATCTGGGGTAAAATATTTTGTACAGTTATCAGCAAACAAATAGATCGCCTGTGGAATTATTTTTAAAACAACCAGCACACGAATAGATCGCCTCTGGAATTATTTTTTAAAACAACCAGCACACGAATAGATCGCCTCTGGAATTATTTTTTAAAACACACACACACACACACACACACACACAGAATGAAAAATTTATTTAGAAAAGCTCTCAAAGTAAACTCCTGATATATGATCGTTGTTACATCCTGTATATGTATAATTTATATAACATTTGTTATAAGAAGTTGTGTGCGTGTGTGTGTGTGTGTGTGTGTGTGTGTGTTGAGAAGATTGGAATATATTATTTTATTACTTTATGTTTCTATCTGATAAATGCAGCTTTTTTTAATTAAATTTATAAAATACAATTTCTATGAAAGTCAATTTTAACAAAATTTCGATTTCACAAATATATGTTTATATGAATATATTCTTTTCGATATTTTATATTTTCTCTATTTACTATTTATTATTTGTTCAATAAAATCTATTTTATTATGAAATAAATTAATAAAGATAGAATAATGCAAAATATATTAGTCTAATTGTGCAGTAAAAAATATTTTGATAAATTTAAAATATTTGTAGAAAAATTATTTATTTCGGATATTTACAAAAAGCTGCATTTATAATATAAAAACATGAAGTAATAAATTTTATCTATTCCAATCTTCTCAACATACATACAAATCCAAATTATACATGATACACATACAACATAATAACATGCATGTAAAGACAGACAAGAATGGGGAAAGAAAAAGAAAATAAAAGTTTAAAATACCCCGGGACAAAAATTTGTGTATATAATAATATAACATTATATAGAAATATATAAAAGTATACGTATAATCGCAGAATTATATTATGAAATATGTCTATACATAATTAAGTAAAAGTGCTTGTTATATATAATTATATAAATTTATATATATATATATATATATATATATATATATATATACAAGTGTAATAAATAAGTATTTCTTTATATATATAAATATATATTTTTATATACAAATTTGACATGATTATATATGCACCCTTATTTTTTATATATAAATTTACATAATTATGTATAAAAATGGACATATTTTAAAAGAATGAATGAGTGAGTGTACGAGTAACTGGCTGTTGCCGTAAAACGATATGATTGATTGCATTGATTACTAATTGATAGAATACTAACAATAAGCATAAAGGATCAAGAAAGAGAGAGAGAGAGAGAGAGAGAGAGAGCTCTCTTTTTTTACTTTTCAGAAAATAGTGACATTCAATGCAAACGATCAATTATACATATATCTCCTTACGACACATACAACGCGGGAAAAATTTTTTATATATAATTATATTAAATAATTGTGTAATTATAATTTTGCGAAAAATAACAAAAATTGGGTACATGCTAAAAATGTAGCATGTAGACACCCTATATATACATATTTGTAAACAAAATCGTGTGCGCGCAATGACATATATTTGCGCGGGATGGTTCACTTGTCACGCGGTACGTACTATACGTGCTTACACGCAGTGCGCGACTCGACCGTTATAACGTGTGATAACGTGTCGAATATTGTGATAGATAGACATACTGTGATATTTTAAAAGTGATATTTTTATATTTATTAAATATATAGTGTATAATGGGTGCAAACAAAAATAAACGTTTGCCCCTATCTGGTCGCAGATTGAGTAGAAAGGGAGCATGTTTTAAAAGGTTAGTATTATGTCATATCATAAAATTGATTCAATATCAGAATTACTGTTACATACAGCACAAATACACAAAATATTACATACCTATTTATTATGCACATAAATGTATATAACGATTAGATAGACAAAAAGAAAAAGAAATATATATATATATATATATATATATATATATACATTATAAACAGTACAAATAAACATTAATTATATACATCTATTTGTTATATACATACATGGATATAATGAATAAATTAACAGATACAGAAAGCTGAAGAAAAAAAAGAGAAAGATAGTGAGTATGAGTTCTCTAGCCTCTTTACATTATAAATATATATCATAAAGCAATATATATATGTATATATACATACACACATACATGTATACATACATAATAATATATTGCTTGTCGACGTTTATAAAAAGGCTCACTCGTTCGCTCTCTTTCTATTTATTTCTTTTTTCTTCTATTTCTTTTTTTTGTATATCTAATCGTTATATACATTTATGTGCATAATAAAT